GATATCTTGACCTTTAATTGTAATCGTTATAATTTTATCATAGTTAAGTACTTCACAATAATTAACATGTTGAAGAAAAATTTAGTAAAGGAACACCTTATTATAAAAGCAATCTGAAAGAACAAGCACTATCATCTGTCTGTTGTTGTTATTATGGAAGTTAGATTGCTTACTTCCTAACAACATGAATTGGACAGTCTAGCTGAGTAAACTGCCTTAAGAAATTGACAACAAAAGCTTGTGAGGTCAAGTTAGATAGGAAGATGGTGAGATGAATAGAAGTGGTAGCCACAGAAGTGCCCAAGTATATAGGAACAGCATGTTGACTGTGAGGTGACCCAGGAAGAAAGACTGTAAGTCAGTATAATTGGGTCAATTGGTCCATTAGATAGAATAACATGATATCCAGGCAGGTAAAAAACAAGACCATCAGGATTCAGATCATCAATGGAAATAGGAGAAGAACATACAGGAAAGGAAATATTACCTTATTCCAAAGACCTTTATATTTGAAGCAACTTCCTGCCTGTATCTTGAGGTTGGACTGATGAAAAAACCAGGCTAGAATGAAGTGTGTGGGGAGCAAGGCAGTTACTGACCATTGATACCTTAATGCTTATTCCCATTATTTCACTATGTAATGTAGGTGATGCTCATGCTTTTGATGATGAGTGGCAAAATGAGATTTTGAAGTACAAACCAGGAGGACGATGGCACAATCTAGAAAACACTAGAATGCGGAGTGTTGGTCATGAGAATTCAGGATCCCGAGAACTTAAAAGAAGGTAAAATTTATTTCTAAAATTGTGGGGTTTTTTTTAAGAAAAAATAGAAGAAAATTTATATAAGTTTACTCTTGTTATCAGGAAGTTTTGATGAACATCCAATCTGTATCCACAGTACCTTTTGTGAAAAATGTAATAATTTTATATTAAATCTGAGTATTCCACACATTTAAATTTGTATCTAAAACCAATAATATTTTAGGATTGTATAGTTAGTAATTCACTAGGAAACTATGCTTCAGAAGGTAGAGGCCAAAATCCTCTTAAGGAAAAGTGATATACTATAATGTAGTTATTCTTATAAAACAGATTCTAATTTGGATATCGATAGAGTCTTCTATTTCACACCAGGTAAAGATAGTTGTATCTAGAGATACGATAAGGAGAGATGAGCTACATTTGAAAGGCTTAAAAACTTTCTTAACAAGTCAAAATTCATCATTTAATAGTAAATGAAATTTTAGACATTTGTATAATATGTAACAGTACATGAAATACCATATTTCATGTATATTGGATATTTTGGAAAAATTTTGCAAAAACTTCAGCTTCCCTTGGAATTCCTTTATGGAATAGCTGTGAAATATAAATGTGCTAAAACCACATATTAAAAATTGTAGAGATTTTATACATTTAGTACATATTCTTGAGTTACAATTTCATTTGGTTTTCCGGGGAAAAAATTGAAAACAATGCCTAATTCCTATTGAAATTACATCAAGAGAGAGGCCTCACCAGGCCTTAAAACAGAAATCTGTTCTAGGCTATAAGAGAGTGCAGGATTGCTGCAGAAGGTGGAAGGCTTCACAGGACCAGCAGTGAACAAGTGGGTATCAAGTAAATCAGAAGCCTTGTGCAGAATTTCGTGTGCTAGCATCTTCTCCTTTAAAATACTTGCTTAGGAATTTAGAGCCCTAATATTTTCCATTGAATGGCTTCTTGCTCTCATGTTAATTTTAGGTATTTGTCTCACTTTGGGAAATTTATTGATAAAAAGCCCAACAGCACTAAGTTTGAATATGAAATCCAGGTCCAAGTTAGAGAAAGCACATGCTCTCTATGGATGACCTATAAATCAATGATCCAAGTGGTGGCATTTTCTCTTAACTAGCCGCTGTCCAAGAGCATTTTCTGAAACGATTTTATGAAATAATTAAAATGTTATATATCTATGCTGTCCAATATGGTAATCACTAGTCACATGTGACTATTGATTCACACTTGATATGTGGACTGAGGACTGAATTATTTTGTTTTAATTAATTTAAATATAAATGTGGCTAGTGGCTACAATATTGGACAGCATGGTTTAAACTAAATAGTTAAATCTATCTCAGATAAAAAGCTGTTGCTCTCTTACACGTTCAGTGAAATAATCTGCCTTGTTTTTCAAAGCTGTTAAGGAACTTTTAAGATAAAATTCTTTTTATATTGTAGTAGTTTTTAACATGTTTATATTGATTTAGAATCCACTGACCATTTAAAAATGGTATTAATGTTCATATGTATATTTCTCAGGGAGAAACTTCACCGAAGTCCAGCCATTGACAGTGGAAGAAGATCAAACGCTTTTGTGGACAAACTCAACATCAAAGGCTCACCTGTGAAAATCAACAAAAAATAAATAGCCATGCATGTGATTTGTTTAGTTTTGGTTGTTTCAACAGAGAAAGTAATGGTGCTGGGTACTACACATAAGACCAATCTCTTGTTAAATCAATACTGTACTTTGTAGCTTTCTTCTGATATTTGAAAGTTCATGGAAGTATGCTAACTTTATATTATCCCTACTTTAGGAATAAAACCTTGATTTTCAACAATGTGAGTAAATCATTAAATATTCTATAAAACTCTTCACTTTAAAACATACTGATTTTTAAAAGTGACATGCTGATTTTGTTTTCCCAATTATTTTTGTATCGGCTGTGTGTATTCTTTTCTACTTAATCAAGATCGATTGTAGAGCTAGTTCTATTATTTATAATAAGTTATAAGAAACTGAAATGTTAAAAAAGTCTCAATTTTCACTAACATAGAATGTTAATAATAAAGATTTAAATAATTTATCTCAAATTTTATAATGTGTTATATAGCCAGCTAGCTTAAAGCTTTAAAAATAATAAAGAAAACTATATTAGTACTGTTTTACAAGAAATTAGTTATTATTTTGATAAAGGGCAAGAATAATCAAGTAGTTCATTTTCAAAAAATTTCAAATTGCTAATGTATACTATATAAGTTTTCTTGATATGGTTTCTTTATACAGTGTATTCTTTTTTTGTTCTATATTACATTCTTAACATTCATTGGACTTTATATTGACCTTTCTCTTTAACTTCTTGAGGTGGTATATTTCCACTCTCCTTTCCTACAGTTTAATCTATCTTCAAATTTAAGTTAACATTCTCAAGTTGGAGAGTCCTTGGAGAAACTCTGCTCAGCCTTTTCGTGACATTTAGAAAAAATACATTTGGTATTCTGCAAACCAGAAAGATTGATTGTCTCCAAATTTATTAGACAGCTGATGTGTGTTTTTGAGCAAGGTAATTAATAATTCGCTTGTTCCAGGCCGGGCGCGGTGGCTCACGCCTGTAATCCTGACACTCTGGGAGGCCCAGGTGGGTGGATCGTTTGAGCTCAGGAGTTGGAGACCAGCCTGAGCAAGAGCGAGACCCCGTCTCTACTAAAAATAGAAAGAAATTAGCTGGGCATTGTGGCCTATGCCTGTAGTCCCAGCTACTTGGGAGGCTGAGGCA